TCACACTGAAGGTGGCGCGGCAAAGCGGGCAAACAGGCTTTCGAAGCGACGAGGCGGCGAGTGCATGGACCTGTTCAGACTGCATCCCTCTTTCGGCTTGCCGCGCGGCAGAAGGGGCGGGCATCTAGTGCTTTTGCGCACGTCTCACTATGACGTAGCAATGCTTCTCCTGAGCACACACCCGTGCCTCCGGTGCGTGCCATTATTATTGGCTGCGGCAGAGCGGCGAGCCTCGGCAGGCGGCCTTCAAATCAGAAACTCTCTGCATTGGGAGTCTTTAACTCTATACAAGAGCTCCAAGAAGCCCACCTCACAAATCAATTTACGCGTCTTACGCAGACGCCCCCCCGGCGGCGCCTACTGGACCGCCTCTTGATCCGGCACGAATGCGAAATTGAAAACGCGGAGCGTATTACGGAACTTTGGAGAGCAAAATTCTGGGTGTCCCGTGCAGAAGCGCGCGCTGAGGCACTTGAACAACGGCTTGGCTCCCGTAATGGGGTCTATTACGTCGATGTGGCCGGGCCGTCACCGAGGGGATACTACATGGCGGCGGTAATACATCAAGGAACGCAGGTGGACGGCCTCACTTTCAAAGCCACAAGCTTAAGTAAGGTGGAGGAGGTGGCCATTGCGCTGGCAGTATCCCATCCAAACTCAAATAGTTACAGAGTCTCGAAGAGCCTGCGAGAGCTATCTTGCAGGAGAAATCTCTCCATTGGCTAATATACATTTAAAATTCAGCATCAGGAACAGCGATCCCACCCCAAAACGACTTATATAGACTCCGGGACACCAGGGTCTTTAGGGTAGCGAGGCTGCACATGCAGCGGCCTGCGTGCTTACTTCCCGGGAAACTCCCCGTTCCCCTGATAGACCTGAACGTCCCACACCTTTAACACGGTTTCCAGAAATAAAAGAATACTACATTGAGTAACGCCGCTTGTATCCCGCACCATCGAAGGGACTCTCGAAAACGGAGGAGCGCGTCCTGCGGCGCCTACAGACAAACACGCTGCTCTGTCCAGCCATACTCAAATATTACGACCCAAAAATAAGTGGGCAGTGCCAGTACTGTGGGGAAGTGGCCAACGCTTACCATATGGTCTGGGCCTGCCAAATGAACCCAAAACTAACCCCCTTTCTCCACCCCACCAAAGAGGACTGGGAGACGACTCTACTCAATAGCTCCACACTAGAGGAACAGCGAACTCTAGTCCAGCGGGCTCGGGTGGCGGCCTCGACTAATGACGTCCCGGACTAGGGACGTCAACCAGCCCGGCGGGAATAAGGGCTATCTGGCGCAGCCAGCACCAATAAAGGTTTTTTCCTCCTCCTCCACGGCAGGCGGCAAAATATTGCACCGAGAGGGATCGATCGCCCTTGCCGCCTGGTTTTTTTCTTCCTTTCGCCACCTGAAGAGAAGGTTTTCCCCGCTTTCCACGTTGCCGCCTCGCCGCTTGGGCCGCCCGCCTTCGGTGTGTACGTGCCTGTACCCAGACAGCACTGCGTCTGCTTCTCTTCGTGATGGAGGAATGCGGGGCGCACTCAAGCGCGCATACTCAAAGCAACGCAGCGCGGTGCGCGCAGGCGAGTATATGGCACGCAGATTGGCGCCTGCCGTAGTATTGCCGGCGTGACGCGACGAAAGCCGGCGCGCACGCACGCCGGGTTACGTTGAATTGTATTTGCGCCTTGAATATCGCATGTGGTAATGTTATTGCATAACATGCATCCCATGATCATCGTGTTTTCATCAGTCACATACCTTCGTCATCCATTCACGTGACAAAATACCAAATTTGGCATATGTGAAGCTAGCGAAACGTCCGTGAGCACATCATGAGTGTGGTATGGAGTCATGTTATTACGTAACACCCATGTCATGTTATCATGTTTGGACGTGTCATTTACGTATGGCGTCCGTTCGTGTTACGTACTAATTATGAAATGGAAGCGCACAACGTAGAAGCAGACGGAAAGACAGGGACAAGCGCTATCCGCTATAGCGCTTGTCCCTGTCTTTCCGTCTGCTTCTACGTTGTGCGCTTCCATTTCATAATTAGTCATGTATCACCAACTCGCCCAATCAACCATTTTGACAAATTGCGTGTTACGTAATACCGAATTTGGCACATGTGAAGCTAGCAAAACAGACGCCAGCGCGACATGAGCGTAGTATGTAGTCATGTTGTTACATGACAAGAATCTCATGATTATCACGTTTGCCTTAGTCACATACCCTCGTCATCAATTCACGTCCTGTAATGCCAACTTTGGTATATGTGAAACTGGCAAAACAGCCACGAGCGCATCATAAGCATTGAAAGTAGTTATGCTGTTACATGACGTGCATCTCATGATTATCATATTTGCACCAGACCCATACCTTCGTCATTCATTCACGTTGCGTTATAATAAAGGTGGTACATGTGAAGCTAGCGAAACGGCTGAGAGTGCATCATGAGTGTGGCTGTAGTCTGGGTTTTACATGACACACGTTATGATTTTCATGTTGGGGTCTATCGCTTGTGTTCGCCATGCAGTCACATCATACCATACCAGTTTTGCAACATGTCGTGCGAACGAAACCACCGCGAAAGCTGAGAGACAATCAAATGTAAAACCTGACATGCGTGTGATGATTTTTATGTAATGACTAGTCACTTATGTTGGCAATACACACAAGTTATGCCATACCAAGTTTGGTATTGACACCATTATCGAAACGGCTAGGAGAGCCAAAAGCCATGGGTGGCTGTATAGATAGATAGATAGATAGATAGATAGATAGATAGATAGATAGATAGATAGATAGATAGATAGATAGATAGATAGATAGATAGATAGATAGATAGATAGATAGATAGATAGATAGATAGATAGATAGATAGATAGATAGATAGATAGATAGATAGATAGATAGATAGATAGATAGATAGATAGATAGATAGATAGATAGATAGATAGATAGATAGATAGATAGATAGATAGATAGATAGATAGATACGCTCAAAGTCCCTGATGTCCACACTGAAATGCTTCGCATTTAAAAGAAGTCTCAGCGCTTTTGCGATGACAGAGTCGACACCGAATAAGAAATTTTTGTATGCATTTGGAAGGAAAATAGCTCGGTTACCGTAATCTCAAATGGTGATCGGCTTGAACTGCAGCAAATGGTGTAAAGATACTCTGGACAAAAGTGATCCAACGTCATGATGAAACAGCCTTATTTGATTTCCAAATACAATGCCAACATGGGCGAGTTTCAACGACTGTATCAAAGTATTGGAAAGTACCACACAGCCATAAAAGGTATGAACTGGTAGTCATCGCTGCCAAAGTATATTCTCGATGCATGTTTGAACAATGCAATCCAGTTGTACGGAAAGAGAACAGACAAAAGAGACCTGAGAAAGTTTCGAAGTGTATTAGCAGTGTCGTACATAAAGAGATATGGCTACAAGCCGTTGCGGGTAAGAAGCCGCCAGTTTCCGCTGGAGAGAAAGAGAAATAACTTTTCTTTATACATTCGGCGTGTAGGAAGTCCTCGGTCTCGCAAGGCGCGAATGTTCCCTATCTTAAGAATAAGGCTATTCAAGTCCGATAATCTCAGGCCTAGACCTCGAGGATATTGCGCTCCGACAAGGTGATAGTTGCTTGGGTGCCTCGGCGCCCGTAAGACGGGTCGTCGACTCCTTTTTTAGCGGCTTGAGGAGGCTTTGGTCTTCGCTGGAAGCGCAAAGGTGATTCGACCGCACTGACCACTTGGTGACCCCCAATAAAAGCAAATCAGGTGTGCTTACAAGCATGGGAAGACCACCACGCATTATAAAAATGTGGCATCACAGTGTACAAAGAGATTTAAATTATACCATTCAAATAAGTAGGTAGAGTGGCCCCGCGTTCAAAATTCACACGACGTGGCACTTGATATGTCTAGTGACTTATATGAAGGATGTCGCCAAATCTTTTGTAATAACAAGTTTTCTTGTGAATAAAAGCCTTAGTCTTTTTCTGAGACCTTAGAAGTAATTATTCCGAGAAAAAAAACCAATTTGTCATTATCCTAAAGTTCAGGCATATATGGGCCGAGTTGACTGGCGGAGCATGGCAGTGGACGTAGCGAGGATGCTGATGATGACGATGATGATTATTATATAGGTTTTACAACACAACCACATGCACGTTATGGAATTAGCAGTGAGGGATGAGTGGTTCTTGTTTTACTCATCGGTAATTCTATGGGTTAACGCGACTCCTTGCCCGAACAGATGCTTGTATCGGGCTTTTTTTGTTTTTGTTTTTTCACATGAGTTTTGAGCACTCTATGGCATTGTGTTCGAATATTATACTGCTAAGCAGCAGGCGCGTGTTCAAAAGTCATTCAATTATGAGTGTTCTTTTTTCATGTTTATTGATTATGGCACCTACAGGGGTGAATGCGGCAGCAACGTTCAACGCAGAAATGGGCGCCCAAACGCTACACTCTAGAAGTGTAATCGTAAAAGCTGAGTTGCGCAAGCTTGTTTTATGGCTCATGGGTAATATAAGCTGGCGTTTACGGCTGGAAAACACACTGAAGCAAATTTCACGTGTATCGCATGCGCACATATCTTGGGTAAAATGAAACATATGTAAATGTCAAGAAAATGTACAATGAAGAAATTGAACATAAGAAGGACATGCGAGACGACTAGACATGATAACTACGTTCATATTGAGCATAAATGGGATGTAACACTGAAATAAATGGTAAGTACAGGTAACATAAATGCTAAATTAGGACGTGACAGTGAAATAATGTGAAATAAAAACGAAATAGCAAACACGTCTGACGGCATAGTCTCCCACCTCTTTTTAGCTCTATTTGAAGTCACTTTTGAAATTTGTCGTGCTACCTCATCCCCCATATCCGCTTCGCACACAATTTATTTGCCATCATGATGAAATTTCAAACGCCCGAAATGAAGAAGAACCGCTTAAGAAATTGTACTCACTCTTTAGTGTTGTTCATGAAAGTCTGATTAAACTTATAATCAGTCAGATTGAGGTCGATTCTCGTGGCCCCTACACACGTATGATTTACACGAGTATAGTTCCGTTTCATCATCCATAGGGTTTCACTGGTATTCAAGGCCTAAGCAAAAAAAAACGAAATACCAATTTACCGTCTTTACTACTCCAATGTGAGAATACCTGATTTACAGATAATGATTGTTAGATAATGGATTTTCTGCCACCCTTGTAACCAAGCTTGTTTTTTCAGTTCATTTGTGTTTTGCATTGTGAATATTTCTTGGAAGTTAACACCGACATTAATAAGCAAGACTGACAACCCACGCACTTTTCATTCTTAGATAATTCTCTCTTTGTTTCTCGCAGCGTCTGACAATACACATTTTCCGTTTTATCCACAGCACATCCTCTATTCTTCTTCCAGGGAAATCATTGTCGCTCAAGCAGGATCTCAATAAGAAATCTATCTTAGTTATGTATGATACTGAATATATTCATGACGGTGGGCTTTTAAAACATATCTGAACCCCATACGTATTTGACGGATGCGAGCATTTCAAGTATAAGCAATGGTAGACCTAATTAACACACCCCTCCATTATTTCATCAAATAGAAATAACTACACTCTATAATTTACGACGACAAAAGGCCCACGCATCAGAGCAAAGGGAATCATAAAGAGTGGGCGAAGCTAGGTCTCGAAATCCATAATTTGAATGTTTAGGTCGCCGACTATGTAAAAAGTTTGTGCTTGTGGGTGTTTTAAACTTATCTGTCACAACTATAGTTGACAATGGTCTATTGCTAAACCTTTTTTGAGTCTTATTTACGTTTTGAATATACCATATGTTACCGAAACGTTGCTCTATATTGTGCAGCCATGACAACGAACACCGCACTGGCGTCACTTTCTAGGTTCCTCGCTTGTAACAGCTACACTTACAGTCCATAACGTCATTCAATACAACCTGCCTTTTTATATATCATATTATTCATCTTCCTCACGCATTGCCAGCCGTGCTACACTGTACAATTTCAGTCTCCCACTTACTAACAATGTGTACAGAAAATATTTGTACAATTTGTGGGCGTCAAAATATAAAATTATGCATCAAGGCAAATACAGGAATGCAGTACATTTTCTGTGCGCTAATAAAAACTTGCTTTGGAAAAAATTAAGTTACACAAGCACCTTACTTTCTTATGAAATCTGCTTCAATACAAAATCATATATATCATACTTGGCATTGTTTACGTACCTCTATGTATCTATATTTGATGTATTGCATACAATATTTCGCGTGCAGGTAACATGTTGCAGGGTACTGTAATTGTCCTAGTACAAGTATGTTTCCTTACTATGTGTTACTCCGCCTTTTATTTCCTTGTTACAATTGAAGAGTTCTTTCTGAATAAGCTTTGTTTGAAAACCTGTTCCATCAAGATATATGTAGTTATACCTTACAATCCAGTGGCTATGATTCTTACCGGTGTTGTGTTCATTATGTACTAGTAGAAACATGGAATAAATATTGTTTTGAACATAGATTTAATTATTTGTACCTTTCTTGGTCCACGCATCTCAAGTAGCATGTGCAGTTTACCTTAGGCATACGTACAAATATGTCGAAAATCTGTTGTAAATGCACATGCTTACCATCTTGCACGCCCAACTCGCCTATACACCACCCCTCTCCCTGACCCCTGCTTACAAAGCTCTACAACCACCTCATTTATTTTAATTAAGCTTCACAAATAGTATTCACTCAAACAGCGATGCCTTGGCATTGCTCTTCCATACAAGTTACTAAATATAGTTGGATTTAAATATTCTCGACCCAGGTGTAACAGTATAAAATGCAAGCTGCTATTCGTAATAACATTAGGAACTTCTAATAATCACACAAGAACTTTTCGGGTCAGCGTCGTGACACGCCGCATCTTGATGTTAACGGTATTGCGTAAGCCAATCACTTCGCTAAACAAATCATTTTTTCAGTTGTAACTCCGAAATGTATGATTTTCTTGAAAGTATAATACCTAAAAATGTCGCAGGGCGATAGCGTTTTGTTCTGTCCTTAAATCTATATTCTAAGAAAAGTTCATTGCATTAGAAGAGTGGGAGCAAAGCTGCCAAATAACTTGCTCTCTTTCAAAGCAGCGTGATAACTTTTTTCGGTGTCTAAGACTTCTAAGGAAAACAGCAGTTGTTAACAATCTCGTTTAAACGAGTGACCATTGAGATTTTTATAAAGGTGCTTTCTTCAAAGCAGTTTCGTAACTCTGGGCTGTTACAACCGAAAAGTGAGGAGCGATACAGCCGTTTATGCTCTCGAGTGCATCGATCGGTGTGCTCGTATTTCATTCGAAACAATAGTCCCTACGAAAAACAGAAATGCGGCGTATGACACTATTTCCAAGTTACTCAGCTGCTTGCACATTGTGTCAACACATACTTTAATCGAACTGCATGAAATAAAAGAAAGAGAGAGAACACAAGGTGTATAACAAGCTTTTTTTCTCACCTTATACAGATCTCCTACTTCGACTGCGTGTGCAGCAGTGCAAAATACAACAATAACAACCAATGTGGTGTGGTACATGATTGTCATGTATGTGCAGGAAACAAGGACGAAGCGCTGCAACTTGTAACAAAACTTACTCTCGCGCAAAGCTTATGTACTAAGCTGCCTAGCGAAGCGGACAGTTTTTTAGTTATTGAAACGCGTTGACTGACGTAGCCACAGTTGGGGTTTTGAACCAAATGTGAGCTTATACGCATAGGTAACTCACAGACAGTTTTCTTTTCTATTTACTATGTTTTCCAGTTTTACTTGTTCTAAGGGCTGTTATTGTGTTATTCTTACTACAAAAGGTCTGTTTTTAATGTTTACGGACGTATTTAAAGTGTAAAGAAAAGAAAAGTATTCCTCGAAGTAATTTTGCTTTTTTTCGTCTTACAACTTTTCGAATAAAGTTAGATGACCCTTAAAGTGTACAAATATGTTGACGCCGTGGGGCGACGTGGTTCTGGTATGTAAGGAACGAACCGATGTCTTTCACTATTCACAACAAGCATTCCATAAAAGCTACCACATTTCCTGGAATACTTGATGGCGCTTAGCCATGCTCTCTCGTGGGTGGCACAAGTTAGTGACCTTTTTTTGCTTCATCCTAACTAGTACTACTGACTACTAAACTTCGGAAATATTGTCTCTAGAAGAGAAGCCACAAGCTTAAGTTAGTAGCGAGCAACATATCATTATTGTTCTCGTTCTGCTTTTGTTTTTCGTCCTTCGGAAAATTTTGTCGAAAAAAATTGAAGTACACTTTGTAAACTCTATAGTATGTTTGGTGAATGCTTGTGCCCATCGAAAAGAGGTCTACCTGAAAGAAACGCGATGCGCTTTCTAGCCACGTTTGACAAGCCACGTTTGGCAAAGCGATGCTACGCTGTGGAGCTCAACGCGACCGGAGTTCGTTAAGGCACATCGGCAGCCACCTGATGCCGTGCCAGGGCCGCGGATGGACGGTCGGAAGCATGAGATATTAAAGAATTTCACTTTAGGGCGATCTATTGCTAGATTCAGTGTTCCGCGAAGCGCTCAGCGAGAGGCTACCTACGCCGCATTGTTTAACTTTAGTTTCATCACTATTGCTTATGACTGGCTGTCACAGAACGAGCGCTCAATAAGGGCGCGCCGCCGAAATCTCGCGACGAAACGCCGTAGTGACGCCGCGAGGTCAATGATAAAAAAACAAAAAAAGAGAAAAGAAATATCTAAAGCTCCCCGGCCGCGCCACTATCTTCCCTCGGAAGCGTGGCTTCGCCGACGAACCTCCTCACCCCACATCGGCGGCCGAGCAAGCACTCGAAATTTCTAGAAGGAAAGGGGCATGTTATGCCGGGTTGAGTCATCTGTCGGGGACGGCCCTCGTACAGTCTCGCACCTTCCCCCAGCCTCCGCTGTGCATCGCGCCGACGAAATGATGAGAACTTTCTGGAATGTCGCGCGGAAGGTATTTAATCGAGCAGCCGAGACGAAAGATCAGGAGAAGACGGAAGTTAGCGCCAGAGCACGTAGGGTATCCCGCCGTGTAGTCGGCGAAGGTTTTGTCCGTAGGGACAAAGCAGGAGAAGACGTGAGGTTTCCTGGAAGAGAAACTTCGGAGGAGAAGACGGGAGTTTGCGCCAGAGCGCGTAGGGATTCCGCCGTGTAGTCGGCGAAGGTTTTGTCTGTGGAGACAAAGCAGGAAGAAGATGATTTCCACCTGAGGGGTGACGACTCGAGCTACAGGCAAGAGTGTGTGTTTACCGCTATCGAGCGAAGACGCGTGGCAACAGCTGCGTGTGTGAAGCCGACGTGTTTCCGGCGAAGAAGTTTGAAGCTTGGAGAGTGGCCAAGTGAAGACGCGAGGTTTCCTGAAAGAGAAACTTCGGCGAGGTTTCCTGGGAGAGAAACGTCGAGGGCAGCGGAACGACAACAACGCTGGACTTTGAGTGAGTGATTCTCGGAAGAGTATCATCCAGACTTTTGTTCCAAGAACTTTGGACTGGATAGGTTTTCTATCTCTTTAGTCTTTAAGTGTCTCGGTTGTTCAATGCATGCGACTGCATTGTAGTGCGTACTGTTGTCTGTGTCCGTTGTTTGGAGTGTGGCTGATTGTACTGTGTAGTACGTTGTTCGATTGGTGACATATTGTACTCAACTGCTGTGGAGTGTGCATACTGGTGTATTGTTTCTGATCTGCCAATATTGAGAATATAATTCTGTTTTGTTTATCAACTCTCGGCTCTGACTTGTTCTTTGGGGCCACAGCCGGCGTCCGCTGGCGCGCCAAAAAGGACCACTTCTAAATCGTCCACGCTTTCGTGGTGCGGTTCGGGGGACATAGACTTCGGCCCTTGAAATCATCCCGGCGATCGCCTCCCTAATTACGGGGACCTGTGTGACACTGGCCTGTTGCTTGTATTCTTTTATGTATCTCTTTATATAAACACAAGACAGGACAATTCATAAACGGCCAGAACAAGCGCTACCTTTGCGATTACCTTCTATTGTTCCTCTCTTCACGCTGCAAAGGCACATCCCCCTCTGATGTAATTCGTGTCCCAAAACACGTTGGTATAGGTGCCATTTTTACCCGAACGTACCAAAAGGTACGTTCAACACAATTCAAGCAAGCAACACAATGCTGACGGTTAAGCGAGGCGTATGCGTTTATTTTCGTTTTGGTAGAGAGAGCGTGAGGAGGTTTATTTGTTTGAAGGTGCGTTGTTTCTGCGCGGGGGCAGGGAAGTACTTTGCCGTGTACCACGCTACCCGCTCCTGGATAATTTGTATGGAGCGCGGGCTTATAGTATAAAGGGTATTGTGAGAATATTCAGCTGATACAACATGACATGTACATGCGAAAGAAAATATAATGCAGTTATTTTCTCTCCAAAAGGTCACAGGCTTTTATTATAAAAAATAACTTCGCTACGGAAATTTCAATCATAGCTTTGGAACCCTCACACCGCCAACTTCTCACACCTCGAAGGCAGTGTGAAAATCATGTCCGCTACTGTGCCACGGAGGCCTATTTCGCCAGCGTCGATACCTTTTGTGATGAAGTGGCTAAAACACCGCACATAATAAGTGTTAAAACCAGTGGAGAGCGCTCCATACCGGTGGGCTGCCAAGAAAAACGGCAATAACCGTAAAGAAAGTTGGTATCGGCAAAAGTGCGAAGATATACGATGAACGGCCGATTCACAGGAATAAGGCTGTGATACTAATTATAAGAATGAATGGGGAGGCTCAATTCTTTCAAATGTAGAATATTGCGATGGATGAAGGAATGATTTTGTGCCACAGTTGTGAAAATGAAATGTGATTTCAGCAGGATGAGGCACTTGATTGTACCGTTGGAAATTTCGTGCATATGAAATGAGTGACTCACACTTCCGCTTTCAGGGGAATCAAGGATCAGATGTTGTTATTCATTTTTATGAATGACATTGCAACCAGGAATATCAACATTACCATACAGTTCACAAAGGAACAGAACCTCTTAGTACTATTTCCTTTGTCACGATGGCAATGAAAACTAGTAGAAAATGAAGTGAAGGAAGCTGTACATGGCATTTATGTACAGTTTCATGTGTGGCATATCGCTTCGAATACACATGTTAAGAATGCAACGTGGACGAAAAGACATCTTGCCGCCGGCAAGGACTGAACCTGTGATGAGGTTCCGGCAAAGTTGTTGCTTTCATGTTGTATGCGAGGACTTATTGGTCAACAGTCCGCTTGACAAAGGTGCGTGCGCTAAGTGATGCCATCTGGCAAAAAGAAAAGTGTTCCATACTCGCCGTAATGGATAAGAGGAGCGCTGCCTAACAATCGCAGGGTTCGGAAGCTAGTAAAGAACCTATAAATGGACGAGGTGACTACCGCCGCACTACCTGGGATAGTGAGATAATTGGGCACATAATCCGAAGGTCACAGGCTCTGTGCTTGCTGGTGGCACTTTACATTTTTCGCCAGAACTATCACAATTACTGCAGTGAACATGAAATTGCACTACCCTAAAGACTAAAGATATATTTTTCATATCGTGCCTATAGAATGCCTGACTCTTCGAGGGTAGGTTGTTTCTGCTAGGAACATTTATTTTTCAAAAAGCCATACCTTGTGTTCTACAACAGATAATGCCGCGTATTTTGACATTTCACTCTTTTGCTATGTAAAAATAATATTATTGATAATAATAAATAAATTATAACATACTGTAAAGAACACCCCTCTATTAATTTTATTTAACACAAATAATTTGGAGCGTGCTCAACCACGTGATAACAATTTCGAAGGCAGGCTAGTGCAACTGCTGCATGGTTTGGATGAATTCACTTCTTTCAATGAAGCCCTTTTGAACTTCATTTTTCTTCTGTACCCAAGCTCCCAATTCCCCCCCCCCCCCCCCTTGGAAGAGCACGTTTGTTTTCCTTTATTATTTGGTTTTTGCCCTAAAGCAAACGCAATACACGCACTTTCATTCACTGAGCGCGCACTACCGCAGGGGAACAAGTGCAACTGTCAGTGATGGTAACTAAAAACAAAAGGTTTAAGTGGAGTTATAATAGACAGATTTGGCTGCGCGTCCGTAGCAGCCATTCGGACAAAGCTGGCCAAGGATTTGCAATGGGAGGCTGCGCCCGTACGGCTGCTGCAGACGCGCAACTAAATCTGTCTAATAAGGGGCTACGTAACGTTCTGATTGTTTTTATATATTTATTTACGTTAAAGGTGCTCCACTTGTGTTGGCCACATTCTTTTCCACTGGGTTTCTTTTCCTACAAGAATACAGGTGAATTTTTGTACAGTAACATTAAAATTCTGACCTGACCAGGCATTTTAAATAGTGATGTGCTCAGAAGGTACACTTATAACGTTATTGATTTTTCAATAGTCAAGAACTTGTTAAACGCTGTTTGAGAGTTTGTTTATATGCGAAGGATTCCTGATAAAAAACTGGGTGCGCCTCATTTGAAAGCGTGAACATATCACCCAAATGATGGTTGATTGCTACTGTACTACAGGAGGCCCCCAACACTGGGTTACCAGCACTAGATTAATTACCCTATAGGTATGGGTTTTCTGTATTTTTTCAGCCAAC